ACTAATAATATTTCAGGAAATTTTAAAAATCTATATATAATAAAATGAAAGTAATTAATTTTCAGTGTTTTCATGTTGCAGTTGATCAACATGTTGGCCTTTTGCTTCCCGTAGATACTTTAAAATTTCTTCATAACACCTCGTTCGCACACATGGCCGTATATATTTAAATTCTTGAGCCACTAACAGTCCGAAATACTCATTTCTTTTATCCTCTTCTCCATAAATTAAGCATTTAGAACAGTTTGTTTCTTCTTTCAGTAAATTTTCTTTTACTTTATCCTCGTTTTTTTTCTTATTATTATTATCGTAAATCATCTGGACACTGGGTCTCACTATCGCCAAATATATTTGGAGATCGGCTTCGGCTACGGCTTGGCAGACATTTTTTTCTTTCTACAATTTTAAATTAAATTTATTAGAATAAATGCTTCGAACACACGCGATCTAAGTACCTTTTGTGTTTATTATACCTTACCTACCTAGGTATAAAAAGAGTACTTACGTAGATTTTCTTTTATTAACTGTTTTATACGAAGATCTTGATCTCTCAAATTAGCATCCATTTTACTTCCAGTGATTATCAACTAAATTAATAATCCACAAAGTATTAAATAACGTTTTTATGAAATATTTAGCACAAAAACAATACCCTTTAAATATCGATCGTCAGTAACTGTGGCTGACTTACCTATATTCTAGCAAGCAGGACTGCCAGATGTGAAGGGGAAATCCCCAATAAATTGTTGCATGTGACTGATGATGTGAGCATGTTCGTTTCATAATAAAAATGTTGCCAGGTAACCAAAAAGTCGTATGTTTTTGTGCGAATTACGATCATAATCTTTACGATCGTACATTAAAAAATAGACAAATAATAGTATGAGTACGATTTAAATCGTATATCTGTCAACCCTGCTAGCAAGACAGCGACAAAATCACGTTGCATAACAATGTAGCCCAAGCTTATATCTTATGAAATATACGGAAGAGATACGGACTTAGAAAAAACAGAAATGTTGTTCTTTGTGGAAGTCATTGATGAAATTCTATGTATTTTAGCCCGCAAACTTTCTTCAAACAAAAACAGCGCCATCTAGTATCGAGTTCTGTAATTATCTCTTTGTTTATGGATTTGAAGTAAGACCGCCACGCATGCAATACATTATGACTGGGGATTCCCCTATTCGTCGACGCTGAATATGAGGCGACGACAATCACTGTCAAACGTGTTCACTATTACTCTGACTCTGGTAACGTGACTTCCTGGTAACGTGTTAGGTAGGAAAAGCAGTAAAAAAGTGCATATTAAGGGAGCAGATTTGAAATAATATTTATACTTAACAAGAAATAATTAAAGGTAAGTGGATTTTTGAATGATACAATTATATCATGATCACTTAACAATTTTAACTTAAAATTAGATGTATTATTACAAGCTTTTATTTAGCTTGCGTTATGTAAATAAAAGTATGTAGGTATGTTCGTATGTTGATGCAATTATCCTCAATCCTCAACCGACTGGGATAAAATTTTCCATACACGTTTATTTTGGATGATAGTGCATAGTTAGCTGAGAGTCGTCATTGGATAATAATGGTGGATAGCCTAAGATGTGTACTAGATATTTATTTTTAACATAATATGCGTAAGTACCTAATCGAATTAAAGAAGTTGCTGAGAAAATTACAGAACAATACGATAATAAACTAGCGTCTGCGTTTAATCCTCCGAGGAGATGTAATTTTACAAAGGTTTTTTGTATTTATTTTATTATTTTTTTAATAAATTTATTGTAAATAACAAGAAATAATCATTGTAAAAAAATAGGCACTCTATTGTTGAATTTTCGTCAGACCAACTAATCATCGTTCATTTTTTTAGGTTCAATGGGGAGACCTAAAGATTTACGCATATGGGAGCACTACCGTACTTTACCAAACAAGTCTGTTTCTTGCAAGCTTTGTAATAAGGTCTACAAATTCAGTAATGCTGCCAAAATGCTTCAACATCTTATCACTTGTCCAAAATCTCCAGAAACATTAAAAGACTCTATGAAACTTATAAAAGATAGCTCGTCCAAAACCAAAATGTCTGGACTGTCAGAGATAGAGACAAATGATTCTTTTATAAGCCCCTCGTCGTCTGCTAACACTACAATAAATGCTGAGTTTCAAGACACCGATGATCATATAAAAACAGAATTAGCGAGGGCTATATTTGTAACAGGGACGCCATTATCGATGGTGCAACATCCTTTATGGATACAATTTTTCGAAAAATTGCAACCAAAATTTAAAATACCTTCACGTAAAGCTTTAGCGACAAAATACTTAGATAAAATATATAGAGAAATGCGTTTTGAGTTAAATGAGGAACTAAATGCTTGTAGTTACTTACACCTTCAGTGCGATGGCTGGTCTAATTTAAGAAATGAAGGAATAATAAACTTTCTTATATCAAAACCTCAACCTGCATACGTTAAAAGTTTGAATACAGAAAGTAATCCTCACACTAGTGAATACCTTAGCCAAGAAGTTGAAAAAGTAATGAAAGTGTATGGAGCAAATAAGTTTCTTGTACTTATTGGCGATAACGCTAGAAATATACAAAAGGCATTCGAATTAACAAAACTCAAATATCCACATGTTGTTCCTCTCGGTTGCTGTGCACATATCCTTAACTTGTTGTGCCAAGATATTGTAAAGATACAAGAAGTAACTGTGTTTATTATGCAAGCCATAAATATAATAAAAACTGTTAAAAGGAGTCAACGATTAAGTTCCTTGTTGATAAAATCAAGGCAGGGTGAAGATTCTACACAAACACTAAAATTGCCTTGTGCTACAAGATGGGGAAGTCATGTTACTTCGTTAAAAAGTTTGAAAGCAAATAAGATAGCTTTGCAAATATTAACAGTTAGAGAAGATGTGGTAATTTCAAGAGATATTAAAGATTTAATTCTAAGCGATGATTTCTGGACGAAGACAGGGGAATGTATAAGTATTTTGGAACCAGTCACTGAAAGCATATTTTACTTAGAGAGCGACCAGAATCGTTTGCATCGCACATACATTACATTTAGAGATGTACAAGCTAAGATACGTTTTGCATTAAATGAGATTTCGACATTGAGCGAAGAAAGCAAACAGCAGATTCTAACATCAGTATCTTCAAGATGCAATATGGCAATGAGGCCAATACATTTTGCAGCATATATTCTAGACCCCAGGACTCTAGGAGTCGAACTTACTCAAGAGGAAGAACTTAAGGGTATGGAGTTTATCTACAATTTAAGCCAACACTTAAGTTTGTCAAATGTAATGGCAGATTTGGCGTGTTATAAAGCTAAAGAAAACTTTTGGGCCAGAGGATTTGTATGGAGCTCATTAGATAGCATTGAGCCCCTAATATGGTGGAAAGGTATTTGTGGTTCCACTGAGTTAAGCAAAGTAGCGATTCGTATTCTATCAGCTCCCTGTACTTCGGCAGCCACTGAGCGTTCCTTTAGTATCCAAGGCTACATACATAATAACAAAAGAAATCGACTTACAACTGAAAGAACTGAAAAAATTTCATTCATTTGTTATAACTGGAATCTTAAACATAAAGCTGAATGCGAGGACATTCAGTTTAATGAAGAAAATACCTTAGAAGCTTTCATTGAGCAAGTAAATGAACATAACAGTTTAGACGAAATAGAGCCTATCGAACCTATACAATTCATCGCTTGTAATAACTCTGAATCTGACAGTGATTGACTGTAGTTTTACATTTTACTTTCATCTCTTTCTTAATAAACTCAAAATCAAATTAAAAGTTTTTTATTCTGTAGGCTGCATAATAATATTGTCTATGTCCAGTATAGTGGACGTCTTGCGGCTGAGATGACGATGATGAAGTACAAAATCATAAACACCCAAAAATTTGGGTGTTTATGGGGTTTAAACCCAATAAACCCAAAACACCCGGTTTTTACCCACCAGACTTTAAACCCACCCAGGTGGATTGCCCATCTCTAATAGTACCTTATTATCTGTTCGTGTATCTATGTACTTTATTGTAACGTTATGGCGTAACACACAGCGCCATTAACTTCCAAACGAAATAGAGTTATTACATAAATAATAGATATTTTATTTGTAAAGGTTTTCCACATATCTTTTACTTAAATATATAAAATAACAGGCTGTGTAGTACCGGCATAGAATACGCTATTCCTTCCTTTCCCGTGGGTGTCGTAAGAGGCGACTAAAGAGGGCAAGGGGTGGACAGCAGCGTCCCTCTTAAAACTCTTCAAAGTCTAACTGCGGTTGTCAGGGGGGAAAGGGATTGTTAGTGATGAGATTTAACAGCCCCATTGCTAGCAATACACCCCATCAGGTCGACCGCCACGCGGTTCTCCCTGGAAACCATAATGGTTAATTGTTGTTCAATTGGTTACTATGGGCCAATTGACCTGCCTTCATCCTCATTTGTCACCCTTCACTGGTACCCCGCCTGTGTATACCGATAGCGCAGGCAGAGTTACCATTCCATCTTCATCCATTAAAAAAAAAACTGCGGTTGTCAATCAGGCTGCCAAGCGTGACAACTATTGGCCCCTGGGGGAGGCTTATGTTCAGCAGTGGACTGTTGAAAGCTGATATGATGATATATGATAACATGCAAACCAATATAAACTGACTTATTACGAATACAAACGTTTCTATTTTGCAGAAATCATAATAATAATTATAGTGGAGGTAGCCAACATTCGACTACCTATGTCATAAATGTCTAATAAATGATTAAAAGATAGAGATTATCTATTTAAGAAATTAAAAATATCTATTTAATTATACTTTTTTGTAATTTGAACCATTGTGTTATCTGATTATTTTTTGTTTGTCCGACAATCAGCCGATGAATTTTTGTGACTATAGTTTGTAATTGATAGGCATTTTTTATATTTATAAATATAAATATATTTAGTCAAAAAAGTTTAATTTTTTTTTCAGGCCACGGGGATGTTTTGTTGACTGTGCCTCCATTTTTCCACATTTATGGATTTAACGCAGTGATGAACTATAATCTCAGGCTTGGCTACCATTTGGTTTCTATTCCGAAGTAAGGAAAAAAACATATTCTTTTTATATCACACAAATACGGAAAACGGTAATTTTAAAAGTTTAAGATTGTGTTCCACAAAAAAACAACTTGAATTGTGGAAAACCCAGTTATTTTGATATGTATAAACTACTAAAACAATAAACTACTAAATCGATTTTCAGAAAATATTAATGGACAAATTTGAAAATATATCTTTTCAGATAAACAAAGAATTTTCCAAATCGGTTTCTAACTGACTTTATGTTTGTTACATCTGATGATGTCAGAAAAAAATCAATCGAATTGACAACCTCCTTCCTTTCGTAGTCGGTTTTAAATATATAAAAGAAGAAACTGTTGTATTTAGTAAACACAAAATTGTGTTGTCATTGTTACACACAGGGTAGCTGCATAACATAATAATTATAACTGTACAAGCTATGTATGATTTTCATTATACACCCTTAATTTTTACATCTTTACAAAAAAGGAGACAAGTATACGGCTCGCCTGAAGTAAACAGTAGCTTGTAGATAACTTCAACACTAGGCGTACCACTCTCGTCTTACGGTATATTATTTAAATATATATTTTGAGTCACAGAACTCGGTATTTTCACTGCTAATCTTTCTATTATCCCACAAGTCTCAAATAAGTAAGTGGATAGGCAAGCACAACATTTTATTTATTTTGGCTTTATCTAATAAAATTTTATTGAAACCGTCAAATAAATTGAAGTGTTCATTTCCAGATTCACACCAGAGAGCTACGTAAATTGTCTAGTGGAATACAGTCCAACCACATTATTTGTGGTTCCGTCGCTTCTGGCGTTCCTGGCTACGCATCCCTTAGTGAAGAAGGAGCACCTTCAGTCTATTGACACCATTATGGTAGGCGCCGCGCCCACCACTGACAGTATGCTGGAGAAGTTTCTACTCAAATGCGAGAAAACTAAGGACCAGATTAGATTACTGCAAGGTTTGAAAACTTATTATCCTATTATATCTTTATGATTAAATTATTAAATATCTCCCAATAAATATTTTATTGATGTTTTTATTCAATATTCAATTAGGTATAATCCATAGATTACTTTTTTTTTATGATCCTGTATATTTATTATACAGCGTCATTGTCAGTGTTTCTAAATGTATTTTGTTTTAAATATTTTAAATTTTATAAAACCTTATAGACATATTGACAGCTAGAAAAGAATAATTTTTATTTTTTATTAAATTTAAATTATTATAAGTAACAAGAAGAATTTTCATGTCATAAAAAAAGTTATCTACTTATTTAAGAAATATTTTTTAATGTTTTACTAATATATTTTGAACAAAACATAAAAAAATAAATTAATTAAGCTATTTATGTCATAGGCCTCAGTGATTACTATGAAACGATATTTAATTAATGAAAAAAAAAAAAAAGTAATAAATTGGTTAGTTGGAAACAGTAAAGAACAAAAGCTCCATTCGCGTATTTATTTTCTAGATGGGGTCTTGCTCTTTAAAAAAGTTTATATGTAGTACCTATCTAGTACTACATATGAACTTTTTTAAAGAGTGAAAAAGAGAGATATGTAGTTACTACTACATATCTCTCATGGGCCTGTAGTTACTACTACATATCTCTCTGGCCGTACCCGCCCCAGAATCGTCTAATGCCGAATGGCATTAGACGATTCTGGGGCGGGTACGGCCCACGCGACCGCTTCTTTAATACCCCTATATTTTGAGTAGTCAATATTTAATAAACTGAATAACTCCCTAATCATCATCATCCAAGGATCATGAATTTTCTATGATAGGTATATGAAATCTAACACGTAATTTTACTATTTGTCAGTTATACAAACAGTATTTTAAAATTTCGACTCCTTGTCTTTGGTAAATCGTTCAGTTTAATGAATAATTTAAATGGGCATGTTTGAGTTAATTTTACACACTCTATGAACACTTTTAATTTTTCATATTCCAGGGTATGGCATGACAGAAAGTTCTCCCGTAACCCTTATGACACCGTACCATTATCCGTACAACAAGGTCGGCTCTGTGGGTCAATTGATCTGCAACACCCAGGCTCGAGTTGTCTCCCTCACCTCAGGCGAGATGCTTGGTCCTCACAAGTCAGGAGAATTGTTGCTGAGGGGCCCACAGGTTGGTTCATTTGTTGATACCAATATATCCTTTCTGGTCGAATTTGTCACCATGGGCCAACTTCATTCTCACCTATTACCTCTTTAACTGTCATTTATAGATATGAACTATGGTTATCAAAGAATGCATTGAGGTACCCATGGCTTGTTTTTCCTAAGGATTATTATGTTATGTCTCCATATTTTGTAATTTCACTGCCATGTACAATTCTTCAAATCAAAACACAGCTATGCAAGTATAGTTTCTTTACGGAAAAACTACTTTTAGATTTCTTTGTAAAAGCATGAGTGGAACATAGGTCTCGCAGATATCTTTTGTACAAAAACAATAAATATCTTTACAAATTTTTACATTAATATCATAAATATTAATATTAAGTAGTAGGGTTTATTGATTTTTATATTCTTTTGATTGTTCCATCGTAGGTGATGAAAGGCTACTGGAACAATGAAGCCGCCACTAAAGAGACTTTAGACAGCGAAGGTTGGCTGCACACGGGCGACGTGGCGTATTATGACGAAGATCACTATTTTTACATCGTCGATCGTACGAAAGAACTTATTAAGGTCAAGGGTAATCAGGTATGTAGCCAGGAAAACATTTTAAGAATATATTTTGGCAGAGATAAAATATTGCTTTTTCAGCTGTTTGATAGGAAACCATATTCTTTCAGTTCTTAAATGAGATTACCTAAATATTTCCATTCGATAATTTGCTAGGTACTTACTGAATTTAAAATTCATTTTTAAAATAGAAGCCGCCTTTTGTTTTGCCAAAAGTAATATGGATTATCATGAAAGCTCTTCCGAATAAAAAAAATCATGATCGGTGAAAATATTAAATTTTTTACACCACTGAAGTGGCAAACAAGCATACGACCCACCTGATGGTAAGCAGTTACCGTAATTTATGAGCAATAGAATATCCTTGATTGCCATTTAATTTGTTAATAGCGTAACATATTAATATTTAATAAATATACAGTTGAAATTTTCAATTTTGAAGTCGATTAGGAACATTAGGCAACTGACAGAAATTTCTTGTATTTCTAGGTATCTCCAACGGAAATAGAGAGCGTGATCATGGAGCAGCCTGAAGTGGCGGACGTCGCTGTAGTGGGTATGCCAGACGCGCTGGCCGGCGAAGTGCCGAAAGCCTTCGTTGTACTTAAACCGAATTATAAACTCACCGAAAAACAAGTCTACGATTTGGTAGCAGAGAAATTAACCAGATACAAGCATCTGGAAGGTGGTGTCGCTTTCCTTGATAGTATACCCAGAAATGCCGCGGGTAAAATCATGAGAAACGAGCTCAAAGTTTTGGGACGCAAACCCAAACATTAATCTTGTGATGTCTAGTATTATAATGTTGTTTATAGTTAATGTTTTGTACATAGGTGATAGTTGTATGATGTTACGTTTTAAGTATTGTTCTGGTTTAATTAGGGTCTTACAAATAGAGCTGTGATTATTTTGACTTACCATAAAGTTGTTATTTTATTATTATGTAAATAGAAAATAAAAGATACTATTTTCACAAATTGCATTGTTTTATTACATTCACAAATCGTATTTTATTATATTAAACATTCATTCAACATAATCACTTATTAGTATTTAATTAAAACTACTTTAGTACTTCAAATTATAATTAAGTATAATAATAAACTAAAATGCATAAATTCAAAGAATATTCCTGCCTTATTGTTTACTCTCCTGTTTATATTTCCATTTCAAATTAAATTTATTCATAAACACAATATTGATTTATATCTTTTTAATCGACTTTAAAAAGAAGGTCTCAATTTGGCTGTATTTTTTAATGCTTGTTACCTCATAATTCTGTCAATTTTAAGCCAATTTGGATTTTTTTTTATACGAAAGGATATACTTACAGACTGGCCCCATAGAAATTTTATCAAAAATGGTTCAGAAGTTTATTTTTCAGATTTAAATAACTGGTTCTGTCATAATTGAAGTCTGTTTCTTTTTGTGGGACACAATCTTTAATTATCGGGAATTTTTAGTTTGAAGATACCAAAACCAAAAACCTAACTTGAATATATGTAAAATTAAATAAACATAGCGAGAAAATTTAATTCATTACACTATCTTCACTTTGGCTTATACAAAACTTCAAAACGTCAATGATGTAATGATAGACAAGCATGTATAATAGTATACTTCTATAAGACAGTGTCATTTTCATATTTATAATTGAATGGATTTCTAATTGATAAGCTTTTAATTTTTTAATATTTTTTTTAAGGAAATATTACAGAAATATTAAATGTACAAATGGACAAATACATGTATGAATGATCACTTTTTGGAGTCACTTAGGAGAAACTTTCCATAATTACTTGACATACATTTCCACCAGTGAGACTTGTGTAGCCAGAGTCTACATTGGCTTCTAATATGATGACGAATAATTGTTTTCTCCAAAGTAAAGTTATATCAAAATAGAAAATCACAGAAAAGATATGCTAGATATGCTATATGAAAGACTTGTTAAAGTCCAACTAATGTTGATACCTTTATACAAGTTGTATAACTTGTCATAATAAGTTGTTCAGTACTCAACAAAGTTTTATCAATGGGACCAATTCTGTGGCACCAGTTCTCTACGCCTATTATTTAAAGTTGATAATTTCATGAAATTAACATTTTATGGACCATCATAAACTAATTTTGGTTTAAATTTATTAAAGTTTAGTTCATATTGGTCCTGAGAATCGAAATTTCACTGATATATCAAAATAAAATTTTAATTCTAGAGATACGATGTAGAGAAATGGCAACTTAGCATTGGCCACAATATATTATCATAAAGAAATTTAAACATTGTTTGCATTATAGCAGAGCAATGAAAGGTTTTGGCTTGTATGAAATTATCATCACTTATTCCACACTTATAAACTAAGACAAATTTATGGTGTTATTCTTATATGAATCACACTTTTCATGTATACAGGCAGTCATAAGTAAGATGAAAAGTACAAGATTGTTTTACATACATTGAAAAGTATGTTTATATATTTTCTCTTACACAATACTGAGACTACTCATTAATTGTATGTTGTACATCACAATCAGAGCTTTATGTTTCACATACCTCAGTTGTCAAATCTGATTCTGTATTGTTTGTTTCATCTTCAATTGGGATTTTGTCTTTACTGTCATTTTCCACATCGGTTGATTGTTTTTCATCTTCCTTTTTTTCTTCTGGCATGGCTTCCACGTTTTGATTAGACACTTCATGTGAAGGTTGTGGTAACTCAGAATTAACATCTGATATAGAGTAATTGTCGGATTGTATAGTTACCTCGGTTGAGTTTTCATGCTTGTTCTCATTGACAGATGGTGCAGTAATGTCTGCAGGCTGTATAGCTGTTTCTTCTGCTGGGATATCAGATTGGTTAGTTTCTTCTTGAACATCTACAATTTGAGCTTCATCAGTCTTTGGTGAATTGCTATTTCCATCAGTGACATCACTAGACGAAGAACTTTCTTCACTTGAAGTAGAGACTTCAGATATAAGTTTTTCAGCATCTTCTTTTATAGAATCTGAACTGCTGTCATCAACAGGTTGAGTATTAGATGTAGTTTTTATATCTGCGGTTACAGTCTCTTCGTCTGCTGATTTATTCTGCAATTGTTCTGCAGTAGTTGATTGTTCATTAAGTTTCTTTTCAGTCATTTCTGCATCATCAACTTTTATTTCAGGGACAACTAATGGATGATTCTCTGTATCTTCTGTTGCCATTTCTACATCTGTTTTTGTCTCTAGATTTAATTCCAAAATGTTAGTATTTGAATCTATCTTAGGTCCCTCTTCTACTGAGGAAATACTGTCGGAATTAGTATCTGATACAATTGTTTTAATTTCAGGAGTTTGAACTTCTGGTGATACATTCAGTTCTGGTGGTGTCACTGACTCATATTGAGGGTCTACTTTTTCTTTACTATCTACTGGGCTGTCTTTTTTAGCTTTAAGTCTTGCTTCAAGATCTTCTACAGATATGTGAGCATCAGACGAACCAGGCTGTGGTTCAGAGATCTGCGGTTGTTCAATACTTTCTTTCCATGACATGTCTTCCATCTCAACATCTACATTACATTCAGAATTGTTATCTGAACCATTTACAATAGGTTCCATGGGCTCGATATTATCTGACTCAATATGACGTTGCAGGCCTGGCTCTCTAGTGCTCACTACTAAAATATTTTTTTCAATAGCTCTCATAAATTTGTCCACTCTATTATATTGCTTCCGGGGACATGTGAGGAGCTCGCAAATTCTTTGAACTGTGAAAGGTGCTGCTGTAAAGGAATCTAAACGTTCTAAGAGACTGTTTTTCATGGTATCATAGTTAAACGGGTCTACATTTGGGTAAGGAGGTATATCTATACCTGGTGCAGTTTCGTAGAAGTCCGTAATTGCATTTAATAACTTTTCCTTAAATAAACTCTTCACAAGAGACCACTGGTAGACAGGATCACCGGTACGAGCTACGTAAGCCAAATAGTCGTTTAGTTCTTGTGGTATATTTTTAGTCTTGCGTTTGGAGAACTCTTCTAAGAAATGAAAAATTTCTTCTGCGTTTTCCATTTTCATGTGTAATACTCAAGCTGAGATAATATCTAAATTACAGAATATTAGCAAAGGGATAAATAGAGAATAAAACTATTATTCACAAAAACAGAGGATAAAAGTCAGAGACATCTGTTCACAGATCACTTAGCATCATTATCAACTGACATCAACTGACATACACATGAGAAATTAGTTGAGTACCATAAAACGCGGGAAATGAGAACAATTTATGACGTTCCTATTTTTTTCATATATATCTATTTGTGTAACATTTAATGATCCGGCATAGAATCTAGGATCATAATCTTTAAAATTTGGGTATTTATTAATCAAATAAATCGTCTGGTTTTCTCCAAATCTTTTAAAATATATTCATTTTCTATATATCTCATGGTCGAGGTGATTAGAAACGGAGAGGGGTCAATAGAAAAAAAAAAACTGGATTGTCACTTTTGTAAATTTAAGTATTTAAGTTATTATTCTTATTTATTTATCTTATATTAGCTATCAAATATATATAAACAAGCTTAGTGTGTCTTTTTATTTAAGATACACACTAAGTACATACAGTATATAAAATTAAAGAAAAGTATCTAAAATAAAAAATATATAGGTACAAAAATAATTTACTTTCATGTTCAATAAAATAATTATACAGTAATATTTTATGAAGCTGCAAAAAGCAGTTTTAATAATCCTAAATGACAAAGTATTGCCACCTCATAAGCGTTTCTCGTAATCACTTCTTAGTATTAAAAGTGTTTAGTATTTAACAATTACCCCCTTAAAAATCTGAATGTGTAAAAACTGTGTTAAAAAAATTATGACAAATAGAATAGAAGAAAGGTAGGTTTTATTATTTACCTATATTTAGGCTATAATTTAAGGCTTAGGCCAAAGATTTGTTCTTAAGCTTAGACATGCGAATTGGAAAAACAACAAAATTAGATTACGTTTGACAACAATATGACAGTCGTGCAGACATTTATATTATATGATAAATGTCATCTCATACATATAGATATATATAGTCTAAATAGTTATTTTTTTAACTAAATAGGAAATATTCCTATATTTCTTTTAATTTAATAATCAGGAATTTGGATTTAGCACTATTTAAAATGAATAATTTGTTGAGAAGACATGTAATATCAATTTACAATAATTCCGTGAAGCTTTCCTTTCGATCTTTCGCCGATGTTCCGATTAAGGACAAAATTGATCAAATTGTGAAAAATAACAAGGTTGTAGTTTTTATGAAAGGTGTTCCAGATGCTCCAAGATGTGGCTTTAGCAATGCTGTAGTTCAAATAATGAGAATGCATGCTGTTCCTTATGAAAGTCATGATGTTCTTTCAGATGAAAATCTTAGACAAGGTTAGGTAACCTTTTAATAATGATTTACTATTGTGTTATTTTATTACTATTTTCATATTATTATTGTTCTTTGTATATTGATTTAGATTGTTTTAGAGAATAGTCATATATAGAGCATAACCTACGATAGATCTAGGTTATGCTACTTTAATGTTTTACTTTTTTTATACATCTTTAAAAAAAGGTACATGTATATAAGAAACTTTTAAAGATGATTATTATTCAATCACTGTAAATAACTGAATTTACTAGAATTAAATTTAGTATATACAGATAAATCATATTACAGATAAATATGTTTATCTTAATCCAAGCAGCTGAAGTCACTGGACAGAGTTGTAATTATGTTCATAATTTGAAGCATTGTTTTTTTATATGTAAGTTTATTGTGATCTCTATTATAAAAAGATTATTAATTTCTAGGAATTAAAGACTATTCAAATTGGCCAACAATCCCTCAAGTTTTTATCAATGGAGAGTTTGTTGGTGGCTGCGATATTATGTTGCAAATGCATCAGTCTGGTGAACTTGTTGAGGAATTGAAGAAAGTTGGTATAAAGAGTGCATTACTCACAGCTGAACCACCAAAGGATGAAGAGAAAAAATAATTTATAATAATTAAATTATAGGAACAATCTCTATAGAAATTGTTAATTAGTGGTCAACCTTTTAGGCTGTTATTTATTGTTGTAACAGAAAGTAATGAATAACAAAAAAAAAAAAATTGTGAAAGAAAAGGCCAATATGAATAAAATTTTAAAATCATTACTTTAACACAGAAAACAACTAGTCATTCAGTTTAATTCCCTTACATTTTTATTTATATACTAGCTTTTGCCTTATTTATTTTTATTATTATTATATATGAACTTGTATATATGTGATTTTAGAAGTTTTAACCCCTTAGGTGTTTAATTTTCAAAATTCTTATATAGGATAGAAGGAACAGGTTGGCCAGAATGAAAACAGCTGATTCAGATGAATATAATTAAAGATTCTTAGTTTTTGAAGCCCCATAATATATTTGACATTTTACTATTCATATCTCATAATCAATGGTGCTTTGTTATACATAGTTTTTGTATGCTTGTAGTGTTGACCTTACACATATATATTATTTCTTTTTATTATGACATAATAACAGATTACATGAATTTAAATGAAAAAAAAATTTAAATTTTCCAGACAGAATTTCCAGTGGTTTTCAGTTCAGAATTATGGTCTAAATTCACTGTTTCAGTTTTTGTCAACCTGTCCCTTATACCCTGTACAACATAAGTGAACCTGTGTTATATAAATAAGCTATTTGTAAAATTTCAAAATACTGGATAGTGGTTTTGGCTATGCATTGATATATGTTAGTCAGTAACTCATGTTGAGTTGTAAATATACCAGATTATCTTCAGCAGGGTTGACCATAATTTTGTTTCTATTTAGAAAATAGGTTAACAAATTTCTGTATACCTTACTGAAATGTGCATTTTATTGATAAATAGAATATAATAAATAGCATCATATCTATTATTAACTCATATGTATATTATTCCTTTAATGGATCATTTTAAATGTGTTAAATGCATCATTATAACATGTTTTATCAAATTTATTGACAACATGTGAATGCTATATTGTAAATATTGGTAGATAGCTTGAAGGAATGTTTATGGTAGTATTTTATTTTATAATGAATAGATATCAAATTCATTGTTTGTTATCCTTATTGGTATAAATATAAATTGTGTAAAAATGAATGTTGTTATTTTTACATCATCTACTAAACCAATTTTGATAAAATTTAATAGACAATCTAAATGGTTGGAAGAATATTTGCACACATGGCAATTAGATATCATCTGTATTGTTTATTTCTATTTTTGCATAAATATTATTTATATATAGTATTTATATCTACAGCATTTTTTAAATAAAACATTACATGTGTTTAAGAGCTCTTTATTAAATTAGCTGTACATTCGAGTTAGTATACGTTTTTGGGCACATAATCCATTCTTAATTTCTATCCCTCTACCTTGTCATTACTATTGTAATTGGTTGGAACAGAGCAGTCAACATTAAAAGACAAAAAATATGGCAGATCATTTATTTTGAGTACTCTTACCAAAATACTCGCACAAACGCATATAAAAATGATATTCAACATGACAAATAAATAGATTGCAGGCAAGTAATGGCATTCAGTGTGATATAAATAATTTGTGTGACACTTCCCTGCAATATTTATAAATTTTGACAACTTAAAATAATGTAGTATACTTACCTAGGGACAATACACTGTCCCTAGGTACTTACCATCCAAATACTAATAATTACTAGTGGCAGTAATCAAAAATTAAACTTGTATAAATAATGTTTGCTTATAAATAAAAAAAATATAACAACATTCTCACAATGTGAATGAGTCTTATTTTGGTGTCACACATTAGTCAAGCCTAACATTAGCACCATTTTATCTTACACATAAGTTTCTTGTGACTTTCTGAGGATTTCATATAAAAGTTAAAAAGTACCTAATACTAAATGTATAAATAGAGAGTTGTAAACATAGTGATTCCTCTGATTTGAGCCAAAAGGTTACTATAAACATTAGGGAGAAGAGTTTACTGTATGAAAGTTAATGGCATTTTTGGTTTGAACATTGCACATATTTGATATAGAACTGTTTAATAGACTAATATTAATCACAAAAATTGTTTGCGTTACATTGACAGGTTTTAGGGCGATTTAGGTATTGTTGGTCAATGTAAGGGAAATAATCTTTGTGAATCGTGACGCCAACACCGAGTGATATCTCGGGCCGAAGTGGTTAGTGTATGGCTGGGCGCGGCGGCGGCGGCAGCGACGTTCTCCCTTCTTCGGTTACTCCTGCGACCTGTATCTAAATTATAGATTATTATTGCATTATCTATTATACCTATAGGTCATATGTATGCATCAGTACTTGTTGAACATTAAGATTTAAAACACTAATACTTCGTAGTATTCATTCATATGGAAATTTGTAATTTTGGTGGGCGCTTTTTGATATTGAATGTACCTACATCATTGGAGTTTATTATAACAATCAACATACGATATTCAATAGATGAATTTTGCAAATATGCATGGATTTGTAAGAAAAATAAAATTGAAAGTATATCGTTAAAAATTAGCCTTTTTCGCTGTCTACAGTGTGATATGTACGAGTTTGATTTTTGTAACAGATTATAATTGATAGTGTATGATACCCTTTTATTTTAGAATACTCACTCTTAGTTTTATTTAATTAATATAAATATATAATCTAAATAAAACACTATTTATAACTAACACAGTAGTGCTACTATAAACCAGTAGGTTTATATAACGTTTATTTATTTATTTGTTTACACTTTATTGCACCAAGTAAAAAGAGAAATAACAAATACGTTCTTTTTTCTCGACTTGCTATTATATAAATAAATTACATTTCATATATCCAAAATTAAATATATACAAAACCTATTACTAGGTTCATATATAATATATAATAATATATTAGCACTATTTTTCTAAATTGGATAGTCAATTGAAATGCAGATATAGAATCTGTATAGGTTCATATAAAATCAGATGAACATTTTACTAAGCTAAAGTTTCTATAGTTTAGGAATCATGTAGAAAGACCACTATATTTCTAGTATATATTATCTTTTTCAGTTTAGTTGCTTGGAGTGGAAGAATTAATTGTACCTTAAATGGACAACTATAAATAGGCACAGGTTGGAACAGAAGGCATAAAGAAAAAAGAATTTATTAAAATAATTATGCAATTCACTAGACGAATCCTAAACTATAAGAAGATATTGTAAGTACCTAAAATATTTTGATGATGTAGAAAGTTCATCAATAACATAAATATATGCTACATATTTGATAGTGTTACCATAAATTTTTTAGTGAACTGGATTTGAAATCGAAGATTATATGATTGAGAGGTGACGATTACGATCTTATTCGAACTGTAAATTGGATTACGTCCAAGTCTATTTTTATAGCAAACCTGATTTCTATTCCTGTTGATATAAGAATTTATCCCTTTAATTTATTTATAGTTTAATGTTTTTCTGTAAGTAAATATTCTTTTTCGTATACTTCTACAACGTATTATTGCATTATTACGTAAATCGTTTCATGTCTATTTTTGTACACGTGCCCAGATAAATAGTAGGATTGAAAAATATGTGTTAGTAGCTATGTCACGTACATGAAAATGTTGATAAATAAGATCTGATATTGAATCGGTTCACGACTTTAATACCCTCGTCACAAGATTTCGCGAATGCCACTTCAAAACACGAAATCCCGCTTTCGACCGCTGCTGCGTGGTCAAAAGACTCGAAGGACCAAAAAATGGTACATGGGTGGAGGGGCTTTATTGGATTTTTGAAAAAAGGTGCATTTCTACTTTCAAATATGCTATAAGAGATAGTTCTGCTGGGATGGGCACGATTTTTTTATTAGGTGAAAATCTAATAGTTTTCCCGCCTGTGCTGTACACTGTCGAATGATATATAGCATCAGTGAAAGATGATAGGTGACAATGAAAGCAGGTCAGTTGATCCATCATGACGAATTCGATAAGAATTAACTACTCGTTTGGTAATGGAGGTTTACTCGACTTTCATTACGTCTGTTATTTGAAAATGTAAGACGGCAGCGGTACCTAGAGGTCTGTCTCGCCGTAGAGCGCGGTGGAGAAGGCCATGTAGTCGAGCGCGGCGGGCGGCGCGCCGGGCCCGCGGTACGGCGGCATGCGCGCCACGCAGTACTCGGCCTGGTCGGGCGGCAGCTCGCGCCGCAGCTCCTCCGCCGTGATGTACGGCTGCGGCACGACAACACACACACGCGTACATTACTCTGCTCGCACTTGGCAGTGCCATCTAAACGGAACCTTACATAATATACATAGTGTCCCCATAGAAATGCTTCTAGCAAAACGGATCAACTTTCTCATACAATTTTGCATGATAAGTGATGATTGATTATGAGTTGCATTATGAGTGATTCCTTTATAACTTCTATATTTATTTTGTCTTTTATAAATTATGCATTTATTACATAATACGTCAAGATACATTTTATGTGTAAATATAAAGAATACTGATAAAAAAAACGAGTCAGCTAATGTGACAATTAGCTGACAAAAATAACATAAAATAATCTAAAATACGCACATAGACCTGATCACAATTGGCAATGCTACGTAGGCGCAACTTGTACTATAGAAATTTGACTTGTACTGTGGACTCACGGATAAATTTTTATACGTGTCTATTGTAATGTGTATAAACAAACATGGATTTAATAACTCATTCATATTCCACATAACACAGGGCATAAATCTTCTCTTCTCATAAGAGGAGATTATAATCAACTATTGCCATGCTAGCTAGACGGTTTGGTTTAATAATTCGATAAATTATATTAATAACGTGATTAATTTCCGTAACATAATTTTTTAGAGAAAATGAAAGCGAAACTCACTTGATATATATATCCTAACGATATGCACATCTAAAATATATTTTGCATAGATAAATAAAAGAAATTTTACAAACCTTATCACCAGCTAAGATCCTAAAGCTGTCGATGACCTGTTCAGCAGTGTCTGTGTCTGTGGATTCCCTCGTCATGAAGTCCAGGAACGCATCGAACGATACGTAACCTAAAATATTGGTTACAAATTAAATGTAACAGATATTAAAATGTTATTTGTCATTGAAATTTAAATGCAGGGATAACGGACTATTGTACTTTTAGTGAAATTACCTGAATTACAAAATTAATTTATTAAAGCAAGATAAAGACTCTATCAATGACAACTAGACACTTTAGCTCATAGTAGCCTGCAACACCAAGCGTATCACCTATTTGATAACCCTGAAATAATCTTATCTGATTTCCATCATTCCACCATCTCAACTAAAGCAGTAGAAGTTAAAATACGTTACCTGTGTTGTTGGGATCGACGACGGCGAGTATGCGTTGGAAGTCGAGTTCTCCTTGTCTGTCTTTGCCGATGCTGTAACCTAACGACACCAGGCAAGACTTCAGCTCTTCGGGTGCTAGGCGGCCTGCGAATGGTTTGTTTTTTTTGTATTACCAGTATTATATAATCCGATATGGTGTAACGTAGAGGACAATCTGATATCAAATTAGAGTATTAAACTGAGATACTTTCTTTAGAGGTTTAAATGAGATAGGAAAATATTATTTTAAGCTTTATAAATTTATTTTTTTTATGTGTGGAAGAAATTAGACAACAAATATCAGATGGAATAACATAAAACATCCATAGCAGAGCTAGTTTTGAAAAGGTTTTTAAATTGGGCGGACTGAGAATCGGAGTCCAGACATAACGAATAGAAGTAGAATAAACACTGACATAACGAGTATTATATTATCAAAACCTTGACAGACTTTAAATTAATTTAAGTGGTGTTGGGGTTTGTTGGTGGAAATTTGTTCAATAAAAATATCCTTATTTTTTCTATTTAAAGACCTTAATAACTTACCAGTGCGGTTTTTGTCGAAGTGGTTGAACGAGGAGCGGAACTCTGTGAGCTGATCTTGTGTGATGCCCTTTGAGTCGCGCGTGAGTATTTGGTTCTCCACTTCGTTGATGGTGCGGTTGATTGACGTAAGCAACTGTTCCCAACCGACTCGTAGTGTCTCCATTGTGTATTGTGAATACCTGACATTAATATTTAAGCATTTATTCGAAACTGGCTAGGTATATATACGTATGTGTTTCAAATTATAACAATGCGAATACAGTTGCATATTGCGTACAATACTTTTTGACAACTTTAGTCCTTCGAGCCAGGATAATATAATAAAATACAAATAGTTAATTTTTTATGGTTTTTCTTAATAATAAAAATTCTGATAGGGAGTAAGTAAGGAGAAATAAGAATATGTTGTATTGATAAAATACTTGTTCTCGAAGATCATGCCCTCTTGTACAGCCTGGTGGATGCGCTCGAGCTCCTCGATATGTGGTTTGTATGCGTATACGCCGGCTTCGTATTCCTTCAGCCTGTGCAATTGATCTTCCAGAGAGCCCTGTAATAAAAAAAACAGTTTATCATTACCACTTTCCATCAGATGGGACGTCAGCTTGTTTGCCATTCTAAATTGCATTTAAATGGATAAACCATCTAAATTGATGATTGTTAAAAATTAGGGAAACCGAGTTCAATAGAAATGCTCGTTTTCTGTTTAAGGCCTTAATTAACTTACCAGTGTGTTTTTTGTCAACATATAAAAACCAATAAAACAACAGTAAAACATATAAAATTGAAGAGCTATATGTGTTGCCAATTAGGCATTTTTTTTTAAATATTCGATTATAGTTACATCAAAATATAAAGTATTTCTAATTAATAATGCAGACATTTAGCTTTTGACATAACGACGTCTGTCGGCTTAACCATTTAGGGCAGTAAAAATAAAATCTTAATATAAAATTAAGTTAAATTTATGGTACCTATAGGCGTAATATTTAAGTACCTGTAGGCCCATGCCGATAGCGGTGACAGCGTCCATCTGTCTCTCGATCCAGGGTCCGACCGCGTTGGCCTTCTCCGCGAACTGGCGGCGAAGAGCCTCGTTGTTCTGTTGTTTGCGGAGTTCCGCGGCGAGCGTGCCGTCCCGCTGTGGTACCAGTTGCCTCACGTCCGACCACTTGCGGTTTAGTTCCTGGTCACACAATTATATTGATTTTTATTTATAGAAAGGAGTAGAACGAGTGTGGCTTTAGCTTATGGCTGCTCTCGATTTTCAGTGATTACGGCACAATGTGAACTTGCTTTAGGAGTAACGCGTAAGTATAACGTATGGTAAAAATGTTCTATATAAATAAATGATTTTGATTTTTTGAACGAGGTTTAGGAACGAGGTTTGGCTTCATTGGAGAAACTGATGGTATTACTCTAACGAATCCTATTCAACCATGCCATATATAGGGACTTTCTCAGGCCAAAAGATCTTTGGATTTCTGGTACTCGTTATCAAAATGTCTTCAAAGGACTAGACGTACCTACAGAATCGATTGAAAATAACCCAAAATGATGCAAGAGATATATTGGTATATGGTTAAGAACTTTCATTTTTAATGTGATTACTTAAATAAGTATTGATTTTAGTCAGGTTTTCAAAGAAAATCGATTCCTCTATTTGTGTCTTTCTACTATTTATACGTGATGAGACTTCGTTACGAGTTTCGGCGGAAATTGATTTGACTTACGTGCGCAGTGAGAGTAGTGTAGGGGTTCTCCAGCCCACCAGGGATCTGGTGCTGTTTGACGATGGACTCCACTTGGTGTACCAGGCTTACTATTGCCTGAAACAAAATAATGATTAAATAATAACATAGACATGTATTAATTTATAATTTGCAGGTGAAATACAAGATTTATTTAGTTGATTGATGCTGTGTGAAAATGTCAAACGTATGTTGTAGTGCTGTCTCTTTTTGTCGAACTAAGTTCTTAATTTGAAAGAAAATGACACATACTGGCCTTTTCATATATTAAACGCAATTTTTACAGTGTGAACAGGATATGCATTTGTAGGAAAAATCTCAGGTAGTAAGAGCATGTATGTATGTACGTACGTATATGTGGCGCTAAGTATATTCTTGCTATCTCACTTTTTTCGTTAAAATTGATTTCCTTTATTGGTAGTTTTATAAATAAAAAAAAAAATTATCTGTGTATAAAAATATTGTTTTTCATAATATTTAGCAAAAAAGTGTTTCTCTAGATATGGGCGCAGATTAATATATAGGTATTGAGCTTCTCCAATCATATATACCTGGTATTCCTTATCGGCTTCACCGAGCGTGGCCTTGAAGCGAGCGTGGGCGTCCATAAGGCCGGAGATTTCTTCAATCGTGTGGACGATGAACATGTCCACTAGATCCTCGCGGGTTCCGTCCAACCTGCATAAAACATATTGTGCTTATTGTATTAATCTAGGCAACGATTTTTGAAGCTACTGATGTCGATGCTACTGAATCGATTTATCTTTCTGAAAAAAATCTTTCATTGCTGGAAAGTAATGCTATTTTTTAAGCTGAAGTAAGGTAGAACAATAAAATTATAGTATTTATTGTAATCCGTCCATGAGGATTAATCAGGTATTGTGAGAACGAGGTAGGGTGTTCATTATCATTGCGGTAATGTAATACATATAGTTTTTTTTTAATTCAGCACGAGTCTACGGGCTACGCTTTGTGCATACAAATTTTCGTTTTCTGGTTTTATGTAACACGTTATATAGTATTGTAATTTTAATAATTATTTAATAATGTCTTTTATTTCTTGTAAATAGCTGCTGTCAAATATTATGACATATTTACATTAAAATGTACAATAACAGTCTTAATTGGGTTCAATATCGATCTGAGAACGGTTATTGAGCCAATTGTCGCATTCCATTTGTGTTCAAGATCGTTTGAGTCAGCGTTAAAATATGATACGTTTGGCATGTAACATTGGTTTGTCCATCATTTGATTATGTGATGATATGTATTACTGCTAGTCAGTTATGTAAGTATATTTGGCTATGAATACTGTTTGTGTTAAGTGTGAAAGATTATGTTATTTAAAAAAGAGTAATGAGATCGTATGGTCGTATGTTCCCGGCATAGAATGGGCCTTCCCTTCCCTTCCTTTCCCGTAGGTGTCGTAATAGGCGATTAAGGGAACTTAATGGCCAAGGGATGAGTAGCAGCGTCCCTTTTAAAACATCACCAAAGGCTAACTGCTGTTGCCAACCCGCTTGTCAAATTTGGCAACCACTAGCAAAACCTCCCAATGGGGGTGGCCTATGTCCAGCAGTGGATAATCAATGGCTGATATGATGATGAAGATGGTCATATTCTGTCTCAAGGTACGACGGCGGAGAGGGATCAGTGGAACAAAATAAGATATTGCGCTGATTCCAAATAAATCTATTTAACAGACGATTAATGTATATTTAGGTAAATATATTTCTAAATAAAATATTTCACTGTAAATGAGACTGAATTTTTATTGTTGTTTGCCAAAAGAGATCAACTTTTTAAGTTTTGTGCCCGTGAATAGGTGTAGGTATAAGAATCTACAGTTATTACTTAGCAAGTGGAACAAATATGTATTGTAAGGTTAAGTTGAAACAATACAAAATTATTTTCGAAATAAATGAAGTAAATAGAGAATTCTACTTATTATTCTATTATATTTTTGACACTCGTCTTATTATTAGTCAACTGTTCCTTGGGATCTTATTGATAACGCTTTAATTGTAAGAATTATATTATATAATAGTAGATGTAATTAATTAAATAAGTAGCAACAATGACAGAAAATGGAGGGAACAATAAAAAGGCATATTTCAATTAGGCAGATACTTATTTAACTCAAAGATACGTAACTACATAAACAATTTTATTGATGCGTATGAGATGACTGGTGATATGTTGGCAAGTCAATTAGGATGCGAAATATTTGTGTTGTCGACATTGGCCTCAAATTCTGGTGCGTATCAACAATGTACTCTTATTTATAAAGATGGTAACCCGATTAATATCTGATGAAATTAAACCTTATGGTTATTGTTGTAAGGTTTAATATAATAATAATAATAGTAAAGGCATCAAGCCTTACATTAATAGCAATTGTTGTAACTATTACAATTGGAGCACTAATAGGTAACAGTATGTAGAATTAAAAACAGACAATTTGCAAATAAAGGTTCAGTAGGTAATACAGAATAATAAATACCACTGGACATATTATGCAGTGCCATCTATCTCCCATCCATCTTAATCTAAATATAGCTTAAACTACGTGTACCAAACAACTAATATAAATATATATCAAATGAGTATGAATATTATGGGAATTGAACCCGCGACCATCAGATGTTGAGGTAGTGTGTTAAACCGCTAGATCACCTACTTCGCAACTACCTCGGTGATCTAGCGGTCTATCTTGTTTTTTTCTAACACTTTTAAATTGTGAGTACCTTTTTTAACTCTCTGGTAAAGAAAGCAAAAATATTTTTAAAATTATTTCCACTGCTATATGTGTGGGCTAATGATATGTATTTTTTTTATACAACTTAACAAATTAACAACTTAGCAAACAAGCTGGGCCGTCAGCTTGTTTCTGATGATCGTCACCTGATGGAAAGTGGTAACCGTCGCCTATAGACATGAGCAGTAGCATGGACATAACAGAATATACTGCTTCGCCCATGATACCCATGGGGGGGTTACCATTCCTGGGACTCGGGTGTTATTCCTCTGTTTTGAAACACGAATGGGACAGAGTATCCATATCGTACCCAAGCAAATGACTTTTGTACAAAGTCTCCCCTGGTAGTTATTTTTTTTGTAAACTTTGTGTTTATGATTAGTTTACTACTGTAATAGTTTGGTGGGAACGATATAGAGGGGAATAAGGGTATCTATCTAAGGGGTTAAGTATATAAAGTGCAGGAGGGTGGCACGCACCAGTTGTTGAAGGGCGCGGCGCGCTTGGCGAACTCGAGGTGCAGCAGGTCGACCTGCTCGAGCACGCGCGCGGCGTCGTCGAGCGCGGCGCGGCGGCGCTGCGTGAGCGCGCCCAGGCGGTCCCACTGCGCGCAGATGCGCTGGCAGCGCGCGTTCACCGCGCCCACCTCGTGGTACTCCAGCGTGCTGCGCCACCACGGAACTCGATACAAACATCGCCACACAAATTTTGCACGCCCAGGGTCGGCAACGCGTAAAGTCCATGATGTTATAGGCGTTCACAGGCTACTGTTTAATTGTGCCATCAGAAAGCTTGTTTGCCACCATAGCAGTAAAAATAAAACTCAGCCACGTTCACCATCCACCAGGTGAAAAGGTTCCAGCGGTATTTTTAATAATGGAGTTTAGCAATTTCGTTGTTAACAGTATACCATCTTAGGTCAAAAACATCGTGGGTAATTCGTGGTGAATTCGTCATAAAGGACAAAATGATTTAACTTCATCCTCACTTAGCATCGACCATTGATATAACTAGGCAAATGTCCACTGTCGTCATAAAAGACGGTCAATATTTATTTTTGCTCAAAGCGGTATATTAGAAAAACTAATGACTGGCAATATCGTGATGTCAACCTTCATGTAATTTCTTTGGACACTATCGCAATTAAATCTTTGTGAATTCGGAAAGCTTTTCTTGTATTTAATTAAAAAAAAAATCCAAAATGACAAATACTTGAGTTCCTGTGCAATGGCCGCGATTTGTTCGACGCGGTCTTGGTGCGCGGCGAGGTCGGACTCGAACGCCTCGTGCTTCTTCTTTAGGGCCTTGATGTCGTTCAACTTGCATTGGCGGAAGTCCTGAGACTGCAACATTTCCTCTTTACCTGTGATCAAAGATAGGAAAATCGATTATAGCAACTTATTAACAAGAGTTAAAGTCTGAGCAGACTTTAACAGACAAAATTTCTCTTTGCGTAAGCCGTAAACACTGTGCGTATGCGCACGTATTGCGCTAGTGAAAATTAGATACTACAATAAATTATAGTATCCAATTTTAGGGGTTTTATTATGATCGGATCAAAGAGGATTGTTTTTCGTCGGACTTAAAGCTCTGTAAGACGAGATAAACATGGGAAAGTGTCTGTCTTCTATGCTAGCCTTTATATTATATGTATATTGTACAAAATAATTTAAATGAATACAAAGTGTAGGAAATACGAGAAAGGTAAGGCAAAAGCTCACCAAAACAGTCGAAATTAATATCGTTATATAAAAAACGTAGTATGAATGTGCAACAAAGTTCTCACCTCTGGTCCAGTCTTCATGGATATCGGCTTTGTGCTTGAATTTCTGGGCGAGATATTCAAGGCGCTCAAGGCGCATCATCTCGCTGAGGAGCCATTCCTCGAATGCCTTCTCAGCAATTTCCAGACCCTTCCATGCTTGAGCGATGTCCTGGAAATAGTGTGCTGATTAGACGGAGTTTTTTCCTTCCTTTTAAAATTTGTTATATGTAGCGATAGTTTTGTTTTTTAAAAACTCTTGAAATCGATTTTAAATAAGGAAATATTTAGAATGCCGAAATGAGATGAAGTGATGATCGTGCAAATATTGGAGAGCAGCAAATGCATTGTGTGATTATTGCCAAAGGGTAAATATCTAAGAGTATTAGAGTTTAGCTGTGGAGTAGTGCTAATACTAAATAAAACAGGGAAACCATCAGAGTAATTAACTATAATAATGTGTTAAATGGTCTTCAAAGACACCACTCTTTGGAAATATGGGGACTTCAAAACTATAACTTAAATTGTTACTTAATAATATAATGCTAAACAAACTCTACATAATTAAATTTCCAGTGGAAAATGGTCATTGTTTTTTTTTAGTCCAGTGTTAGCAATCCAAAATCAAACGATAAGGCACCAGTGTCTTATAATTTGATTCATATATTGTATAAAACATCTATGACAAGTAAAAGCAATACTTACCGAAACCATTTTGCCTTCGGTGGGCATGTAAGCAGGTCGATTGGACAAACGCAACTTGGTCTGCAGCGTGTTGAAGTTGGTCTCCAACTTGGCCTTCTGTTCAACACGGGGAGGCTTGTGTTTACGCCTAAATAATAATACAAAAAGTGTTACCTAAACCTCATTTGTAAAAAATATCTTTATTTTACCTCAAAGAGATATATATAGCCCTTTTATTAGCAATATAATTTATGAGGTAAATTTTCCATAAGGTCTCTCCTAGAAACATCGTGGTTATTTCTTGATTAATTCGTCACGGTTGTTCAATTGGCCTGCTTTCATTTTCATCTACTATTTCTGACTAATATAGACGTAGAGGGGAGCCGGGCAGGTCGTGCTTATCCCAGAACCGTCTAGTGCCCAATCCAGAATGCGAGCAAAGTTTCGTAAAGACATGTCTGACAGTATATATGCGTCTTTTTTAAGGGACAAGGCCCTCCTTGGATTATAATCTTGAATACACCAATGCTCATAAGTAGGGTATGGTAATGTTTACCATTCTATTTTCATGTAATTACAAAATTAATTTAATTAATAATAGACTAGATAATGGTTATTTGTTTAACCTGTAAGTACGATAGTCTTCCAGCTTCTTTTGGCAGCCAGCGAGTGAGTTATCAGTCTGGCGACTGTTTAGCCAAGGCATCGTGCGCCGGATCCAATCCAGCAACTATGAAAGTAGACCATGATCAATTAATATTTGGTAATCTTTTAGAATATAGACTAATAATTTTAATGTCATCATCAATTTATTATGATTTTACGTTTATCATCAACACTTGTATATTGTTTTAGAGTTTATCCCATTTTAATTTCTTTAATTATGAACTTAGTAAATACGAGTAAGTAGTTACTCTACATGATTTTTATTAATTAGGGTTTTGTTTTCTATTTTTTTTTTAAATTGTCTGAATGTTTTGGTTACTTACGTCGCTGGCGAGACGTTCGTACTCTTCCATTAGGCGTTCGTTCTCTTGATTTACTTTGAGAACTTTGCAGATGCGGTTCGCGGCGGTTTCAGCCTGGAAACAATGTTTACTAATTAAATATGTTAGATTATTAATATATCGGATAATATATAAAGTTGTTTTTCGTATTTAAAATAAACTTTTTTAGTTTTAACAAGTTTTTTTTTAATAAGTTTCTAACTTTGTCTTACTTAGAAATTTACTATTTGATTTCACAAAATGCCACTAATTTCTTATTTCAAATTTATACATTGAGCGATGAATTAGACGTTGTATACAACTGTATATACTTAATTTGTAAATTTTTGAGAAAAACGAATTTATAACTTGTTTTCCTTCGAGAATATAATATATAATCTGGGGAACGAATCCTTATACTCTCGATGAATATAAGAAATCTAATTAGTATTTTGAAAGCTGTTTTAGGCTCAAGAGACAAACCTTTTGAGCGCCAGAGAAGCAATGGTAGTACGACGAGACGTATGTCATGACCGCCCTTTCGTCTGGCATCGCGGTGTTCTGCAGATCTGACAAGCGGCACGCAAGCAATACAAGTGTTAGTTCATGCTCTCACTACATAAAATCATACACTGATGTCGACTTGGTCGTATCAGTTATTAAAACTAAATCACACTGACATTCATGGATATGATTAATTGTTCGTGTCAGGTTGTTTTAGTTTAGCGTGTGAGGTACGAAAATTAATTTTAACAAGTGCTTGTGTTTACTTCATCTCTTTATTTCTTGCATAGAAAATTTTTACATACGACTGCTAATAAGCTATAATAAATATAATACAGTATTATAGACACAAGCATTGTAGTTTTATGTCAACAAATAAAAAAATACATATAAAAATAACAAAACCAAAGTTATGTATTTGTAATTGCACATAATTTTGGTTTATTTCATTGTTTAATGATCGAATGATTGTTAATAACAAAAAGCTAAAATATTCGCAAATATTAATTCGCAATTGTTTATTAAAAATCACAACATCAATAATCTCCTCAAAAGGAAATAGGAATGTTCAGGTACTCGTTCACAGTTTATCAGTAAGTTTTATCAAAATAATTAAAATGTTATCAATTTATAATGGCATAACATAATATTCAATTTTATTGCCGTAACTATAGATAAAATATCAATAATACTTATAACCTTGCCTTTGAAATTTTGAATTGTGTTTACAGATAGCTAATACGTCAAGCATTCGAAGAAATGAGTAAAATATTTGATATAGTTTTTTTGGAATAACAGTATTGCAGATAGTTATAATATATACTTAGAGTATTCGTAAAGAAGTTTGTCACTTGTAATAGTAAATCAAGTGGCAAAACAATGTCATAATCTAAATGACATTTTTCAGCGATTAGATATTGCATTGCGGGTTTATATATTTCAATACTTGATTTATTAGAAAATGCGGGGCGCAATTGTTGTTGGGAAAACACATGGGATATATGAAGCACTTAGTTCATGCTATAAGTGATACACACAGGCCTGGCATTAGGGTTGGGTATTAACGATTTGGCATAGCGTTCGGCCATCATTGTCGTATACCTGCTGCGCGCCTTGGAACGCGTGGTAGTAACACGACACATAAGTCATAATGGCGCGCTCGTCCGGCTTTGGTGTGTTTATAAGGTCTGTAATATTCATTATATTTAGTTCATACATGTGTCATAATTATAAATGGTCGCATCTGATTTCATTCTGACAAGTACGGAATAAAAAGTCCAGGTACGGTGTCAACTATGATTCATTTCACAAACAATGAGCTCAGTTGAAGACTTATTTGGCAACGTAATGTGTTTTTATGTTTTGGCCTTCTACTTTATTCTATTTAATGTAAACATTACTTATGACACTTACCATCAGGGTCCAACATGCGGGGGATGTCTAGGTATTTCTCGGCCACATCGAAGGCCGTGTTTAAGTTCTCCAGTGGATTGTCCTTTGACAGTTTGCTGTAGTCGATGAGATCGGGCCTGTGTCTGTGGATAAGTGCGCAGAACGCAAGGCCGTCCTTGAAAGACAGGTGGAAATTCTGGACGTTGACGTTCTTGTATGGTGCTGTCTTGCGTTGACACCACAGTAGCAGACCTTCCTGTAATGTAACAAATGAAGATTCAATTTTCAATTCTATTTCTATCAGCTTGCTTATCATTCTTTCTCAATTCTCATTCCATAGAAGCTGAAGTGGCAATGAGCTAGTCACATATTAATTAGGAAAGAAAGGTTCTTGAGTGGCGACTCCGTACAGGCAAACGCTGTGTAGGACGACCCTGCACTTGATGGAGTGACGACTTCAAATGCATTGTAGGGAGTCAGTGGATACAGGTGGCTCAGGACCGTTCCTTGTGGCAGTCTATGGGGGAGGCCTATGTTCAGCAGCTGACAGATAATAGCTGAGATGATGATGATGATGAATGAGAATCTATTTTTATTGATATAAATATATCTAAACTAATATTATAAAGAGTTCATTAAAAAAGTTCTTTTACCTACAGAAAGCTGTATTATCAAGAAATAACATGGGTTATATTTTAATTCCAGAAAAATTAGACATCCTTACACTCTCTACCTGAGCGATATCGGGGCGGGTCACTAGTAATTGTTATGTTTCATTGTATTTGTCGAACACTAACAATGTTGGATTGTATGCTAATTAAATTAAATTGTTTACTATGTATTGTTCACCTTAGCAGTCATTTCTTCCACTGATATGTCCTGGATGGCGAATCTTAGAATGATAGTCCAGATCATACCAAGAGTCATCTTAAGGTTGCCATCAACGATTTCTTCAGCACCGATCGATACCAACTTCACGCCTGGAAGTATAAAAAAATGTCTCATAAATCAAGAATCTATTTCTGGTATCTATATACGAGTATATGATATACATATATACACAGTAAGTTCTTTAATTTCTCGTTACACATATATATAGATAATCTATTTTGGAGTTACGAAACGAATATTATAAATGTCAAAGTTTGTACAGAGATGTCTGGATGTTTATATGTTTATTGCTAGGGACGTCAAGTTCTCAATCATGCTGAAAGAATTTAAATGAAATTCGTTACTATATTATGAATGTTTATGACGTAAGTAAATTATATTGTGAATACTTAATATTCATAAAATATTTTTTGTGAGTATTAAGGCTGTGGCTCTGCCTGCGGGAATCCGTACAGGAAGATTCAAATGTCATTTAAATTCATTCAATAGTTTTTGCGTGAAGGAGTAACAAATACCCATCCATCTATCCACTCTCAAACGTTCGCTTTCATTAAATTAATAGGGCTTTACAAATTGTAAAAAAAATTACTTTTATTTTTAAAACTTTTCATACGTAGATCTTGTGATGACCATAAGGCTTTATAAACACACTTATATTTGACAGCCAACTCATCGAGATAGTGCAAACAAGACCAAACTTAATGAAGTTTTATAGATTCGAAAGCTGCCTCCCAGTTTAGACATATTATTGTATTAGTTACCATCAGCCTGTTAAAAAAGGCATATTATATACCCTTAGACATGTTTTAGCGCATAGTTTAAAGGTACACGGCATCTTGAGGGGAGCATAAGGCAATTCTAAGATCTCAATCAATCTCTCATTTAAATACATCTATGTCAGTTAAGCAAACGACATATTTGCCTACTAATTCTATGCATCTAAAAGAAATATTAGCTAACCTTTGGAGGCAATGAAGTCTAGTGCTTTGTTGACATTGGCAATCTTGTGAAATCGCATCTTGCCGCGGTCAGGCTTGGGCAGAGTTTCGCCGGAGATGACTTCCAGCAAAAGCATTAGTTTCAGGCCATTGCGGAAATCTTCGTCGATGTTTTCGATGCCGGTGCCAGCTTTCCTCAGGTGGCTGTTGCACCATGCTGTGAAGGTCTGAAAAGAAACAGTGGTAAACGTTAGATTCAATTTATATATGATATTGTTCGAGTGTTGAGTGTAATGTTTAGATTTATAAATATAGTGTTGATTATAACTAAGAATGTTAGCCATGTAGTCCTATTATAGAATGGTGGGTGCCGAAAGAGGCGATTAAGGGAATTTAATGGTCGAGGGATAGGCAGCAGTGTCCCTCTTTAAACATCACTAAAATCGAACTGCGGTTGCCAACCGGCTGCTATTGCGGCAATTGCTGACAAAAGTCCGCAAAAGCCCGGGGAGGCCTATGTGCAGCAGCAGACAATTAAAGTGGTATAACGATGATGATGTGGACGAGAACGTGGAAGAAAAAGACATATAGTAATAATATGAGACACATATTGTATTATATATACATGAAAGAAATGCTTTGCTAGATGAATTGTACTATTTTTCAGGTTGGTGTCTCAAAATAATATGGAACGTACTTGATGAACCTGTAACTCTTAGTAAAGAATACTATTTCGACTTTTATATATATATATATATATATAGTAATATATTTATTAATAATACCGATGAATAAAATATTTCAATAATGATATGGTAATACCTACATAATTTTTTATACCTACTCCATAGACAGGCGTGAAGATACGCTTTAATGCTACTTACAATTGATTACATTACAATAATAAAAAAATAATAATAATATATATACAGAGAGTCTGATTGGAGACATGTAGTTACGAAATACTAGCAAAAAACTGTACATATAAATGGAAATACAGTAAGATGAATGAACAGAAATAACTCCTAAGACGATTATGCAATCTTGACCGCTTCTTAGATTTAGTCGTTAACCGATCTATTCTTAAATAGAAGACAAAATGGGTACGATGTAGTTTGGAATGGTTTAGAAACTAAGCCAGTCTAAATCATATGAGATGATTTGAGAAAAGGAGGGGAAAAAGTTTTTCAATCGTTTTCAAAAAGAAGGAAATTCTCAATTCGGTTGTATTTTTTTTTCAAATTCGGTTCAGTAGTTTAGTTTTTAGATCAAAATAACTAGTTTTGTTACAACTGAAGTTGGTTTAATGGTTATTTATATAAGACTAGAGATTAAAAGGATTCGGAATACTCATCACACTTTATTTTTTAACTTTTTTTAAGGAACTTTCAAAGAATTTTGTTGTGTTTCAAATGTAACGTTTGACAGCTAGAACAATTTTTTGAGGCAAGATTAATATTTAGATAAATATATTTATCTAAATATTAATCTTAGATATACCTAAAGACTAAAATATATACAATGTATTCGTAATAAGGAATATGGCGGAAGGAATATTTAGCACCTGTGCTGTAATGGTAATCAGATAGTTTATATCTTAAAATTAGATTGTATTATTGAATATGATATGATTATTGCATATTAAATCATTTATCAGTGCTTAATTTGAATTATGTACAATAAAGATTTTACAATACAATACAATTAATTATTCTTAAGTTCACAATATTCTCTTACGAGCCTCTTACCTACGTTAGGTATTCGTAAATATAATTTTAAAGGCAGACAAGTGCCATTAATCAATACTGCAGTTGCACCGAGCAGGGGCGCGCTAGAAGGGTCCGACCCTCTGCAAACCGAATTTGCGACCGGTTATTAGCAGCCGTAACCTCGACCGATATAACTAGAACACAATTCTACAAACTATAGTTAGAAATGCGAGATAATGCCACGCGGCGTTGCCAGAATTATTTTGAAACGAAATATTAGTCTTGACAACTTATGTTTTGGTATTTCTATAGTTTTGTTTACTTGTAACTAAATAATATAATTCGAATAAGGCGGTAATATACAAGAACCTATTTAATGACGAATGCAAAATTTAACGTTCTCGAAATTTCAGTAATGAGAATGTTGTTACTACTCTTCTTATGACGCGGATTTATATTGGATCTTGTATTTACTTGTATTAAGTTCTAGTTTTGAAGTTAAGCATAGGCATAATCTAATCCGATATGTGGTCGGGACATTATAGACGAGACGACGACGAGAATCTAAGAACATTATAATATTTTTTACTAGCTTTCGCGACTTCCTCCGCGATACTGGGATATGCTTACTGACTGGGATAAAAAGTAGCCTATATCTTTTTCCATGTATGAAAATTCTCACTGTACGGGGTATAGACAGAGAGAGAGAAAAAGAGAGAGAGAGAGAGAGAGAGAGCAAGATGAGTGCATTTTAATCAAAAGACAAGAAAATGCATTCATCTCGCTTAAGTTCTATCTTTAGTTGTAGATGCTCATTGCATAAAAGTTTGTATTATTCTGTATTTTGAAAATCACATTAGTTACTATTTAACACTTCATTACACAATATTGTCCTCGACATCAAAAAATGTAGTGAGTCATTAAATTTAGGAAATGATGTGGAAACAATTACAAATAGGTATGTATTATGTAATTTACATTTACTTACGAGTGGCGACTCATACTAGGATACAGGTGTATTTACTGTGATAAGAAGCATTTTATTCATTAATATAAGATATATATTGACCTCATAGGGTTTCGTTGTAGGTAAACTGAATAGGATTTTTCAACCGACTTAAAAAGAAAGAAGGTCTCAATTCGGTTGTATTTTTTTGTTTGTTACCCTCATAATTCCGTCAGTTCTTTCCGACTTGGAAAATTCTCTTTTTTATCCGAAAGGATATACTTACGGATTGATCCCATAGAAATTTGGTTTGATTAAAATAACTGGTTTTGTCATAATTGAAATAATTTTTATTCTGGGACACAATTATTATTTCTTAAAATATTAGGTATATTGTCCCTAATTACAAAATAATGAAATAAGTAATTTGGAATATTGTGAGTATTCATTAATAGGCAGGTATATTAAGAAGAAGTAAATAAATGAAGGTAAACATTTAATCATACCACTCGAATGGATTATGTCATTCTTGCTACTCGGACGCAATGACTGTGAAAAAAGGGCAGAAAAATAACTTACTGTATGGGTAATACATAATTATATCCATAAATACAACGTTAGGTAAATACTTCGTACTAGCTGTTACCCGCGACTTCATCCACGTAACCGGGATATATTTACTGACCGGGATAAAAATTAGTCTATATCTTTATCCTTATTTTTATTATATCAGCCGTTAATTACTAGAAGTTGCCACGTTTGACAGGCGAGTTAGCAGTAATGCTTTTGTGATATTTTAGGAGGGACGCTGCTGCCCATTCCTCGACCATTAAATTCCCTTGGTCGCCTCTTATGAACCTACGGGAAAGGAAGTGGTGGCCCATTCTATGCCAGGATTACATGCCAATTTTATGACTATAACTAGGTACGAAAAGATAAAACTAAAAAAGTAAACATTTAATCATACCAATACTTGATTATGTCATTCTTACAATAGGATACTCGGAAACCATTACGAAAAGAGCAACCAATCATCTATTGTGTATTTATACGTGTAGTTGTCGGCTTTGGAAATAGCGCTCCGATAAATTGCGCGACTGATTTGGTTCGTAGCTGGTTTCAAGGCTGTTTTTGATAAATAAAAGTCACTACTTACTTAAGGCCGTGTGGTCCCGGTATAGAATAGGCCATCCCTTCCTATCGCGTGGGTGTCGTAAGACTTAACTAAGGGAGGGCGAGAGATGAGCAGCAGCGCTGGCTTAAATTTTTATTTTATACAACTTAGAATGGCAAACAAGCTGACGGTCCACCTGATGGAAAGTGGTAACTGCCGCCTATAGACATGAGCAGTACTATGGACATAACAGACATAACAACCACTGACTGTGGTTGCCAATCTACTTGCCAAGCGTGGCGATTACTGGTTCTTGTGTGTGGTGAAGGTCTGGTCGTGGGAACTGGTACTAGATAGCAAACTCCTCCAAGTGGGAGGCTTATTTTCAGTAGTGGACAGTTAAAGGCTGATATGATGATGACGACGACTTACTTAATATTTGAAAAATTCAACAGTATGTCTGATTAAACTATGCAGTGTCTTATATTGACATAATACAAAGATCTAAAACATACGCTTAATGCAATGTCTGTTGAGGTTACCTTGTTGGATGAACTAATTTTAATATTATACATCATGATAAAGAAACAAATATGAATCCCGTAGTATCTTAAAAAAATATATTGTTGTGAAAGAGTTGATAGTCGCAGTCGATATAAACAAAGGCGTGTGAGACGTGAGACATCAACAAAAAATCCTACCTGCACAGAAGAACGCAACGTTAAGGTGGGTGCATTGAAAGTTTGATTCTATCGCATGCGGTTTAGAATTGGTTTTTATTTATAGTTCGTATAAAAGGAATTGTATAAGTGTATCTATAAATCAAGATACAAGACGAGGACAGCAAACATGCCTTCTTTGCGGAAGATACAACGAATAAAATGCATTCTCGACTGACAAATGAATCATTTTAAAACTTGGTTATTGGCAAAGGATCTGAAATAATAATAACTACTTATTCATAACATGCAGGTGAAGCGTCATCAATGTCATCATCAGATTAACGGCACTTTTAATGAGGATGACTGGTTCCAACGCATTTATGTCATTAACAGATGGAATTTTATAGATTTAACTGTATTTGTAATTTTATACCTATAGATATAGAAGTACAGTTTTTTCATTTATAACAAAACAATTGTAAATAAATTAAAATTCGTTTGCAAAAACTGTGAAAATTTTATATCTCTTAGATCTATGGAATTGGTTTTAATTAGGATTTTTTTACTTTTTATTGTATATTCTTTTTGCTATTCAAAGAACGAATTATTGTAGATATTTTGTTTATACGATACACATATTTTTATAACAATTGTATTAAGATTGTAGGGGCTTCCTTTCTCCCAGATATATATATCGTAGTAGATTTATCTTGGCTATACAAGAACACTAAGAAAAGGGGAATTTTTATTAACAATGAAAATGAAAACAATAATTCAATAATCAAAATAGGGAGTT